ACTCCACTACTTCACATGTTCTACTTCAATACTCCACATATTCTACTCCAGTACCTTACATGTTCAACTCCAGTATTTCACATGTTCTACTCCATTACTTCACATGTTCTACTCCATTACTTCACATGTTCTACTCCATTACTTCACATGTTCTACTCCACTACTTCACATGTTCTACTCCACTACTTCACATGTTCTACTCCACTACTTCACATGTTCTACTCCACTACTTCACGTGTTCTACTCCACTACTTCACATGTTCTACTTCAATACTTCACATATTCTACTCCACTACTTCACATGTTCAACTCCAGTACTTCACATGTTCTACTCCAATACTTCACATATTCTACTTCAATACTTCACATATTCTACTCCAATACTTCATATGTTCTATTCCAGTACTTCACATGTTCTACTCCAGTACTTCACATGTTCTACTCAAGTACTTCACATATTCTATGCCAATACTTCACAACGCTAAGGGTGTGATTTCATTTCTTTTTTCTTAGTTTAAAAGTGTTTTTTTGCATTTTCTCAAAAAAAAAAGTTAAACCTAATTTTAATTTTTTTATTCAAACTTACTTTAGTTCCCGTAAGTAAAGTTAATGAATTTGGTTAGACCAAAACGTGAGGGAATTGAATTACAATTTTAGGAGTACTATTTAGTTGAAGAGGATGTTAGACTCTCCTACAATTCTAATTCAATTCCCTCACGTTCCTCTTCAACTAAATAGTAGTTATACATATATCAATATCTGGAAATTTTCCAAGATTTTCCTTTGGGATTTAATCATATAAATTAATGAGTTTATCGTCCAGTAGCTAATACCTTAAGCGCTCAAGAGTTAGATTATAAACGATTATATCAACTCGAGATCATCTTGTTACGTTACAACACTGTACTTTTCATCAACATCCAATCAAATTTTTTTGTTTTAAAGATAATAACTTTAACTCTTCACATTCTCTTCAACTAAATATTACTCCTACAATTCTAATTCAATTCCCTCACGATTTGGTCTAACACCACCATTGATCTCCTGATTTTAAGACGTGCCAGTCAAGATTCCATCGTACAATATAGTCTAGTTCATTCCAGCAATTTGTTTAGTTGTTCTGACAGACAACGCTATTCGTGTACAGTTACAACACGTGACAGTAATTTTACTTACGTTGTCTTAATGTCGGCGCTCGACCAAACATTGTGTATTTCACTTGCAAGTGAATTCGTACCATTGAACTGGAGCATCACGTGTATAAAGTAATTGAGTCTCTTCTAGTTTGTTTAGAGTATAAATTTTATATCCCAGTGCCGGCGCTAGAGGGTGTTGTGGTGGGCCTTGCACTCCCAAATTTCACTATGGCCCACCTAACTTCATTCTTCTTAGCGGTTTGAAAAATAATATCAATATCAAAATATCTTATCACTGAATGGTGACTCCCCACAAAACTCCACTGCCCCCTCCCCCTTCCCAAAAGGAGCTGGAGCAGGGGGCCTGGTATACCTGCGGCCAATAAAAAAAAGTAGTCGTTGTGGAAAATGGAAGAAAACATTAAAATGGAATTTTTATTATTTAGAAAAATCATAGCTACTCCAGTGTATTTTTTTAAATAAGAAATGTATTAGCTGTTTCAATTTCGGTTGATAAAACATATATATTTATTTGAAGTGAACGAGTTGTAAAATACCGCGTAGAGTGTGACAGAAAATTTTATGTATTTGTTAACACATAAATACGCCCCCCCCCCCTAGTGGTACAGCGGTATATCCGCGGACTTTCAACGCTAGAAACCGGGTTTCGATAACCGTGGTGGGCAGAGCACAGATAATCCATTGTGTAGCTTTGTGCTTAACTTCGAAACTAACGAACAAACACATAACTACGTGTCCAGCTGAGTCGTCTTCCGGTGGGTCCGAGGTAGTTTTTACGCTAAAATTTGGGGTTCGATCCCCCGCTGTGAACAAAGGGGGAGAAAGCCCATTGTGTAGCTTTGCGCTAAAACAACAACGCTTAGATAACAACAAATTGATAGAGCGATGAATACGTGTAGGCCAGTTTCTACTCAACCTTTGACCCATTTTAGGCTAACTACAAAAAGTTATAGAGTAAATACAAAAACGACGATTTTAGGCGCAATGAAAGATAACATCTTTATTATATGTTGTAGTCGACTAGTCTGAATAACACAGGGCCCGGTATGGCCAGGTGGTTAGGGCCCCGGCATGGCCAAGTGGTTAGGGCGCTCGACTCGCAATCTGCGGGTTCGAATCCCCGTCACCTCAAACATGCTCGCCCATTCAGCCCTAGGCGCGTTATAATGTGACCGTCAATCCCACTATTCGTTGGTAAAAGAGTAGCCCAAGAGTTGGCGGTGGGTGGTGATGACTAGCTGCCTTCCCTCTAGTCTTGCACTGCTAAATTAGGGACGGCTAAAACAAACAATCGATAACACAGCCGTGATGGTGGAAACTATGTTACCGAAACTAGTCGACTGAAATATATTATAAAGACTTTTTTTCTTTTTCTTTTACTATTAGTATGGTTGTACAATGTGCCTGAAAAGAAATTAACTAAACAAAAAATATTTGTTAGTGTATAAAGGTATTCAAGAATATTATACCATTACTATTTGCTTGAATTTCTCTAAGTAAATGTTTAAAACGACGTCGTTATGCACGATAACCAATTCTACAGCCAAAGTATTGCGTTAGACACCAGGTGTTCTTTACCTGTTCGTTCTAACCTTGACTCATGTACTGGTAATTTCACACTAGGTTCCTATTAATATTGAAAGTTGATAATTACCAGATGTTCGAAGAGGAACATATCACCTGCCTAGGTAATTACAAAGTTTTGTTGTTATCTTATAAAAAAATATTGAGTTCCTGTATTAGAAATAAACTGAGAACTTGCCTTCGCTGTGGCTTCTAATTTCTTCTTCTTTTTTTTATTTTATAGATTAAAGTCACGTAACTCTTGACGAAAAGCTACTTGTTATCGGTCCGAATTTTAGGAATGTAATTTCCACACTGGTATGAAATAGCAAGCCAGAGCAAAGAAAGAAACAAACCGAATATACTATATGAATTGTTTCATACCACTGAGTTATTAGAAGGACTGAACTAACTGTTGCTTACTGCTAACTTAGCAGAATGATGGGACTGCTTAGGGAACCGATACACAGTTGTGAGTCAGCAGAAGGATGTGACTGGACAAGAATCTGGTACACGTCACTACGGCAACAGAGAAATCAAATTGATAGATCTGTTGTACACAGCCGCTCCACTTGTAGAACTCGGTTGGCTGAAGGAGCTGATATCACCAAGTAAGCAGAAGAATCGGATTGATTGAAGAGGTAAATTGATACACTAAAATAAAGTAACCTAAGGAACAGGTTAACTGTAACTTTCTTTCACTGTTTCTAATACAGCATGCTCCTAATACTTATTCTCTATTCGATAACTAACCGTTAATCGAAACAAAAGATTGGTTTCATGATCATTTTATTATTTACTCTCAGTTATGTATGTGATGTACGTATCCACGTACACCGCTGAGTATCAGAGTTAAACGTGAAGTAGGAGTTCATTTTAATGTGAACATTTACGTGTTGGGAGTGTAGTAATGACATTATATACTGTGGATAATTTACGGTCACAGTAATTAGGTTATTAATCTATGGAAAGCGTGTGTTAACTTATTCCTGATAATAAGAACCGAGTTTTTTTTGTTGTTTCTTTTTTGCTAAAACTGGGAAATCGAAGTGTCTGTTCCAATCGAACCTGCACAATGTCTGCCGCGGGGAACGAATCACGGATTCTAGCGTTATAAGCCCTCAAGTATACGTTTTTTTAGTCACTTGGGTGCATGTAACGGCAGAAGATCAAGAAGCGTAGTTACTATAATAAATGCTCTTGTACAAAAAGTCAATTGTTTTTTTCATCATTTTTTTTTCGTTCTTCAAATCTCATCTCCTGGTTAACGAACTTACAGTGCTAAACTCTGGGGTTCGATTCCCCATGGTGGACAGAGCGCCAATATCCAGTTATGTAGCTTTAAGCTAAAACAACAACTTTATTCTCGTGTATTTACTTTAAAAGACATTTCTAGAAAGTTCTTTAATCCTACCAAAGGCTATAAAAGTGATGTCTATATAATCCTCGCCATACCGTTAGAACAGACACCAAAACACGTTAACTGTTAACACGTTTTTCTCAAGCTCTTAAGAATGCAAATACTCAGTGTTCGTTACCTATGGACGAAAAGACTATGGTGTTAAGTTACAGAAGTTTTAAATACGAACACAATTTGCTACACGAGTATTTCTTTTACAACCGTGGGAGCTTCTTGGCCTTGTGCCAGTTTAACAAACATCTGAAACATATTAAGTGTGTATGCTATAGTACATGCGCAGCTAACAAGCAACATATTAACGAGAAAAAGACAGAAAGGGTTGGGCAGTTGTGCATGTTAAGAAACTTGGTAAAAGAAACAACAATATGTCTCACTTTAGCATTGAACTGTAAACACAATAACGTTTTAAAAGTCTTACAGAAGGTTCATATTTCGGTAACTCAGCGACCTCTATAGGTCATTTTCGGAACTAAATTACCCGTGAAATGCCACATGCTATTCTTTATGCGATTTCACTATTTCGCTCTACTTTCGATTCGATACAGTTGAGAAGATTGTAAAGATGTCAAAGTATACACTTGTGGTTAACGTGTAGTAGAGGGTAAAAAGGTTGGGCTTAAGTTGCAGGATTGATGATAATCAATGGATTGTTATTTTTCTAAGTGGTTTGGCCTTGTTAAACAATGTGAACTTTTTGAAACTTGGTATATATTCTTTTTAGAAAAAAAAAATCGTTAAACATAAAGTAAAAAAAAACTAAGAATATTTGTAATCATTCCTAATGAGGCATAAAAATATACATCACGCGAACAAAGCTTTTGAACACAAGTTTATTTTTAATCTATAGATAGGAAGACCTGTAACGCCAGAGAAACGTAAGATTATTTTACTGGTTTATTGTTTTAACTTTAAGCCTTGATCAGGAACACTTCAAACACACTAAACAAAGAAAATAAACAGGTTTTGAGATACTTCAATCATGATTCATTGTAAAATATTTTAATCTCTCTTCAGGAAGCCCGGCATGGCCAGGTGGTTAGGGCACTCTACTCGCAGTCTGAGGGTCGCGGGTTCGAATCCATGTCCTAGCCAGGTGGTTAGGGCACTCTACTCGCAGTCTGAGGGTCGCGGGCTCGAATCCATGTCCTAGCCAGGTGGTTAGGGCACTCTACTCGCAGTCTGAGGGTCGCGGGTTCGAATCCATGTCCTAGCCAGGTGGTTAGGGCACTCTACTCACAGTCTGAGGGTCGCGGGTTCGAATCTATGTCCTACTAAATATGCTCGCCCTTTCAGCCGTGGGTGCGTTATAATGTGACGGCCAATCCCACTATTCGTTGGTAAAAGAGTAGCCCAAGAGTTGGCGGTGTGTGGTGATGACTAGCTGCCTTTCCTCTAGTCTTACACTACTAAATTAGGGACGGCAAGCGCAGATAGCCCTCGTGTAGCTTTGCGCGAAATTCAAAACAAACTCTTCAGGAACTGTCATCCGATATCAAACAAAAGATTTGTTTATTAATTTCAAACCTAATTCTGAAGTTTTCCGAATTTAAACTTGTTTTCGACAGTAGATGAAGAAGATGAAGAAACAAACACTCTGTTAAATGTCGCCGTTCTTTATATGTTAAACTTACCCTTCTTTTACCATAGTGCCATAGCTTATTGTACCGTAGATGTCTGCAAAAACGGATGAAAGTTCCAATTTAAAATATATAGACTTGGGTGTGGATGTTTACATTCAGTCTAGAAGCTCGTTTGTTTTGTGGAAAGAAGTGTTACCAGTGTTAGTGAAACTTGCATCTTTAGTACACAAAATATGCACATATACATAGAGTGTGTGTGAGAAAAAATGTATAATGTGTGATATCATATTCCTGGCATGATTCATGGGGCTGTAAAACTATTACCGACGTTTATATTCTACGTTATTTATAGAGATGAAAATCAAATTGTTTAAATTATGTTTTTTTAAATATTTTCTATATAAATTTTAAAACTAAAAATTCTGTGGTGACAGTAGGGTTAGTTGTTTTTAACCTTTGTAGAAATTGCTGACCAAATGACTGTCCAGTTTTAATATTCTAGGCCTACTCTAGTTGTATTGTCACATAACCTAGTCAAATTTCGCACTTGGAGGATGTAAAACTTTTTTTTCTTGCTTTGTATATGCTTGGGCAACTATTTTCATTTACCCGTTCTTTCTGAGATTCGAGACAAAGTAATAATCTTGGGAACTTCCCACCTTTTAGACTCAGAAAAAACTAATTTTGAACTGATAGATTATATGTGATGCAGCTAGTCAACACTAGCCACAGCCAAGACTTGGGCTGGTCTTTACCGATGACTAGTGGGATTGACCATCACAGTATAACACCCCATGGCTGAAAGTCGAGCATGTTCAGGGGTGTGGTTCGATCCTGCGACCCGCAGATTGCGAGTCCAGGTCATACCTTTAGTTTTGAAATAATGTGGTTTTATTTCGTATCCAGTAACAATTTTGTAAGGAAATGCTTACATCGTGAAAATGTTCGTTTTTTAAAATATCTTTACTGCCATTTTCCGATTAGCGTTACAAGTTGATGGGTCTTTGTTCTGAACTGTTTTGCAGTAGGTTAAGCAAATACATAATTGATGGTTCTTCTTCTTTGGTATGAGGATTGGGTAGACGGTGACCACGATTTAAACACAACCATCCACCCCTTGCTGGCAATCTTTAACTTTTTTTCAAAACTTGCTGTTTTTAAGGTGGCGTGCTCGTGCTGACTCGTGGCCTCGAGCTCTGGGAAACTCAGACCCGCCCGCTCTAAACACAGAAGTTGACATACCGAGTGGGCGTACCAAAACCCTCACAGTCTTGCTTTTCAAGTTACCCCTAGAGTTGGTTTGAACAGCTGTAGACATTTCATTTTGAAAGAGAGAAGTTTCCGGAGCCGGTGAGACTTATGTGACGTGGAACCGTTTCGACAAGTTATATAAAAGGTATGTTTCTGGTGTTTGGTTGGACTATCTGATTGGGGGACACACACTGATAACTGTTAGTAACTTCTGAACAAAAACAAGCAAACATTGCAGTTAGAAATATAAATTTAAAAAAAAAAGGAAACAAAGATAGTTGAATTAGTTTTTATAGTATAGTTTGATTTTTGGTCGTTAGGGCTAATAATTATAATATATGTTTAGATATCTAGAATTCTAATCTATACGAAGTAAGTTGAATCGAATTATCAGATGAGTAGACCTACCTTCGTTGCTATCGATGTATTTGGAAGTGTTTGTTTGTAACTGAGCACAAAGCTACACAATGGGCTATCTGTGCTCTGCCCACCACGGGTATCGAAACCCGGATTCTAGCGTTGTAAGTCCGCAGACATACCGCTGTGCCACTGGTGGGCATTTGGAAGTGAGGACAGAGAGTCGTAACATTTTTCACTTACTCTTTTCGGAACTTTACATTAATTATCAATACATATAAAGATTGCTTTGTGTGCAATCGTAAGAGGAACAGTAAATAGTGTTTGAAATATTTCGTACGACATTTTAGAATAGGGTTTTAAAACTGTGGTAGTACGTCATCATCCTTGCTGAAATTGTACAGTTCTACCAACAGTTACTTTAGGACCCTGGACTGGTGAATATTTCGAAGAAGGTTATTTTGGATATGTGAAATTCTGGTGAATATTTCGAAGAAGGTTATTTTGTGAAATTCTTTTAAGAGTGTTAAATAATCGTTTAATTTACTCAGTTATTTTTTTGTGTGCGCGGCTTTACACAACACATATAATGTTTCTACAAGTGAGGTACGTCTCTAGTTAACCAGACGGCTAAAACCAACGATTCAGAAATTTCAAAAGCTCTTGAAAGGCATGGTCATTCAGCACGTATCTGAATTAGTCACTGTTTGTGTAAAGTGCATTTTATCCGCGCCATCTGGATGTTTGAAACAACTAGAGCTAAGTCACATAAGATATATTTGTTTTATATACAAGCTTCAGTGTTTCCTGTATTTTTATCTTGGTTATTGAAATCCGGCTCATTCTTGAATTAATTAAAACCAAGTTTATGTCAGTTACAATTTCCCTTTGCACGGGAGTCTTCTCCTCACAAGGACCCTGGGATAAAAGCCCTTTGTATTTCTACAATTTTGTCATTGTAGTTCATTCACAACCAATTCAGTAAAGTACAGGTTGAACAAAGAACTTCCTCAGACTGGACTTTACCGAGTCGAGTGGTGAAACATTAAACGGAAAGTGTGTTTGTTTCCGATATTCGTGCAAAGCTACACAAGAACTATCTGTGCTAACCGTCCCTAATTTTGAACCGATAAACTACAGGAAAAGCAATTAGTCAACAGCACCAACCGCCGATTCTCGGGCTACTCTAATCGAATATTGACCATCGTTTGTTTTAATACAGCCAAAGCAGATACAAAATTCGTTTTTACTGCAAACCATGGCCCACTAAGATTCACAATTGTATGACATAAACGTTGATCTCAAGTACAGTTTTTATAAATTTTAACTGTCGAACAGTTTGACATTTTACACGTTCCGTTGGCTGTGTTATTTTGGAAAGTATGGACCAATAAGCATGAACATACGAATGCTACATGACTCGGGTTCAGATATTAACCTCCCTCTTAAGACTGGATTGAGATATTAACCTCCCTCTTAAGACTAGTTGTTCATCATAGCCATGTAATTTCACCAAATGTCTCGCACTGTTTCAACTCTACTCAAATATTGATATAAGGTATCCAGAAATGATGTTAAAACTTTTTCAACACTTATTTCTGAAAAAGATGAATCCGCACTCCACGTGCTCATCTTAGCATTTAAATTGGACAATAGGAAAGCGGCATAACATCTCAGTGGGCGGGATTCAAGGTTTAGATGGCTCAAACACAAGTTTACAGTTTTGTTAACATAATTTTCGGACACCCTGTATTTATTAATTTTCCTTTTTGACTTTTAAATGAACACATATGATGAATAACAACTGAAGTGCTCACAATGTGATGGTTGCTGATTGAAATTTTGTCACCGAACATGTTCACTCCTTCAGCCGTGCGAGCGTTATATTGTTATGGTCAATCCCACCATTCGCTGGTAAAAGAGTATTCAACAGTTGGCGGTGGGTAATGTTGACTAATTGTCTTCCCTCCAGTTTATCACTTTGAAATTTGGGACAGCTAGCGCAGATAACCTTCGTGTAGCTTTTCGAGAAATTCAGTAAACAAACAAATTCTGTATTTATTGATTTGATCCTTTTAAACACAACTAATTTGTAGGAAGGTTCCTCGGTGGCTCTGCTGTAAGTTTGAGGGTTTATAACGATAAAATCAGGTTTTGATAATCGCGGTTTTGACACAGCACAGATAGCCTATTGTGTTGCTTTGTGGTTAATTAACATAAACTAATTTTTGGAAGGATTATCTTCAGTATTTTCACCAGTCTCATTAAAAAAACAAAAACACCCGAAACTTTGCAAACATATTTCTTGTTCAGAACTTCAAATATCTTAGCTTCACCGGTTGAAATAAAAGCGTAATTTGAATCACTTGACTATAAATATAACGAGAGTACGTTTCCATGATACTTCACCAACTTCACTCCACCCCATTGGTTCAGTGGTTCTTAGGTTTGGCGGCTGGTAAGGTGGATCGTTATCAAGTTTTGTGTTGTACTTGAATTACACTTGTCTGTGAAAATATTCGTGTTTAATAATTCATATCGTACAATGTAAAAATTCCTCCAGTTTAAACTGGTAAATAGCCAGTTAAACGTGATATGGATAAATTAAAAAAACCATATCAATTTGTTTTCATTACTGAGGAATCTATAGTTTCATAAAGTACATACCGTATAAAATGAATGTTAAACATTTTAAACATTTTTTTTTTTTGCAGTATGCGAATTCAAGCATCGTTTTAATACGTTAAGAAAACAAACCGGAAAAGCTGTTGTCACACAGTGTATTTCATCACGTCATACCATGTTTAATAATTGTTTAAATATTTGTTTAATGTAACTTCCTAGAAGAATGGCGGGGATTTAATAACTGTTTGAAACGCAATCCTTTTATTAATTTAAACGTTATTGACGCTAAACTTGATTTTTTAAACTACGTGATCATGTAAGAGTAGGTGCGATCCTTCGACTTGTTAATGTTAAGCTTTAGTACAGGCTTGTTTCTGTTTTTTTTAAGCCAGCTAATCATGTATCATGGAATTTTAAGCCAGTAATACATCCTTCTTTAGTCCTAATAAAACAGTGCTGACACACACACACACACACACAACAATAACCGCAAAGCATGATTATTCCAAAAACCAGCAGAAATAGTCATCATATGGTGAATATATTACCTCACCAGGAACAACCGGATGTAACATGAAAGAAAAGAAACGGAAACCTAGGCTCGAGGGTCTTTGTCTGAAAAATAAACGTGTTTGTTAAAAGGAAAGCTAACAAGTAAACGTTATTGTTTCGGGAGCTCATTGTTTTGTATATTTTCAATTTTTGTTGAAACAAATAGTATTTATTAAACTATGCATGCTTGTTTTCACGTTTCTTTTTTTACTTCTTCAGATATAGAACAAATTATGACATAACAGATGAAAGAATATGCACTTGAGACCAGAGTAATTTGATTAATTTAAGATATATAGCAACTTTTGTTCGCTATATATATATATATATATCTTGTGATGTTTCTTGTTTCTAATGGTCTGATGACTTATAACACTAAAAATTGGGTTTCGATACCGGTGGTGGGCACGGGACAGATAGCCCATTATATAGCTTTGTGCATAATAGTAAACCAAAAGAAATCGAATAATGTTTTGCCCTTTTCATAAATCATAAAGTTTCAAAGTTCCTTTTGGGTTTGTGAAAAGTTTTTTTAAATTTTGGATAAACACAAATAGCCCCCCCCCGGGGGGAGAGGGGGGAAAGAAAACTTGGAAGAAGATAAGCGTACATGTGGTTGTCATTTGCTGTGGAGGCGTCACACGACATTTAACCTGAATGTTTTCCATTAGCCTACTGAGGTGTCGTGCAAGTAGACTGTGGGAGGGTCACGACCTCTAGAAATGGAGAAAAGTGTATTAAAAAGTCTCGGGATATATATATATATATATTTACCGCACAAGTAACAGTAGAGACATCATCATTGTCTGCTTTTATTTGATGAGTATTAGACGTGCCGAATATTCAGTTAATTGCATGTTTTTTTTAGGTGTGTGGGTGTCTGGCTAGGATTGTGCTCGTTAGAGGCATTAATTTTATCATACATGTTATTCTGCACACACTTAAGAGAGAGAGTGTTAGGTGTAGGGTAACATATCTTTGAGAATGCTGGTCAGTCCAGAGCTGAGTGACATTTGGTATTAATCTGATATACAGTTGTTAAAAGTGTAAGTATCTTGTAGCCAACGAGACGACCGCAATACATTATCATCCACGATGTTCAGTCCTTGATTAACTTGTAACAGGAACAGTGTGTTGTTGTTGTAACAATGTGTTATTGTAACAGGAACAGTGTGTTGTTATTGTAACAATGTGTTATTGTAACAGGAACAGTGTGTTGTTGTTGTAACTGTGTGTTATTGTAATAGGAACAATGTGTTATTGTAACAGGAACAGTGTGTTGTTGTTGTAACAGTGTGTTATTGTAATAGGAACAATGTGTTATTGTAACAGGAACAGTGTGTTATTGTAAAGGGAATAGTGTGTTGTTGTTGTAACAGTGTGTTATTGTAATAGGAACAGTGTGTTATTGTAACAGGAACAGTGTGTTATTGTAATAGGAACAGTGTGTTATTGTAACAGGAACAGTGTGTTATTCTAATAGGAACAGTGTGTTATTGTAACAGGAACAGTGTGTTATTGTAACAGGAACAGTGTGTTGTTGTTGTAAAAGGAACAGTGTGTTGTTGTAACAGGAACAGTGTGTTATGGTAATAGGAACAATGTGTTGATGTTGTAACAGTGTGTTATAGTAACAGGAACAATGAGTTATAGTAACAGGAACAGTGTGTTGTTGTAACAGGAACAGTGTGTTGTTGTTGTAACAGTGTGTTATTGTAACAGGAACAGTGTGTTGTTGTAACAGGAACAGTGTGCTATGGTAATAGGAACAATGTGTTATTGTAATAGGAACAGTGTGTTATTGTAACAGGAGCAGTGTGTTGTTGTAACAGGAACAGTGTGCTATGGTAATAGGAACAATGTGTTATTGTAATAGGAACAGTGTGTTATTGTAATAGGAACAATGTATTGTTTTGTAACAGTGTGTTATAGTAACAGGAACAGTGTGTTATTGTAATAGGAACAATGTATTGTTTTGTAACAGTGTGTTATAGT